AAATAAGGGATGATGAAAATTTTTTTTTCTTATCTCTTATCTTTTACAGTTACTTTTAACCAATTAATGACAAATCTCATCTGGGAATTAGGACTCAAAAAATTTTTAGGTCTCACCATTTAACCCAAAGTGCTGCAGTCATGCTCACTGACTGGGAAAGTTGCATTACTTGGGTTCATGTCATTCATTAGAGCAGCCATTTCTGTGGTTTAATAGATTTTAGCTACAATTCAACACCAGAGCATCTTAATATTTGCAAAGTAAAATATCACTACTGGCCCATTGGGAAGATCTATTTTTCTCCTAGAATTTCACATTATGGTCAACATTTGATACATGGTTAAATCTTGACAGAGTAGATGTGAAAATCTTTTGAAGAGTTAAATATAGGGGCACCTCGGTGGCTCAGTGGGTTAAGCGTCTGCCTTCAGCTCAGGTCATGACCCCAGGGTCCTGGGATCAAGTCCCGCATTGGGCTCCCTGCTCAGTGGGAAGTCTGCTTCTCCCTCTCCTCCTGCTGCCTCTCCCCACCGGCTTGTGCTTTCTCTCTCACTCTCTCTCTCTCTAGTAAATAAATAAAATCTTTTAAAAAAAGAGTTATAAATAATGTAAATGGAGCTTCCACCAGAAAACTTCGAAGTGATATCATTTCCGGATATTTGTGTTTGATCACCAGTTTCTGTGCCAGGTTACATGTTCAGCAGCCTGGCAGGCCCTGTGATATATGAAAATACTTCCATTTTTATAGGAATGTGCTGGCAAAAATCTACCACTTCTATGAATTATTAGTCCTTTTCTGCTAATTATTTTGAAAAATGCAGAGGTGCAGGTCCAAGTTCAAGTGGCTCAACATCTGAGACATACCTGGTATAAAACTGCTGAAAATCTCTGCCTTATTTGGCTACCAGTTTCACCACTGCATTATGAAGCCTAGAGGAAAAATCCAGTTTCTTTCTTCTTGTATTAGAAACTGAACAAGTTGATTGAAAGAATGATTGAGAACAGTAATCACAGAGGAAATGTGATAATAAAGCAAGTAACCAATTTACAACATAAAGATAGATTTTTGCATTTTCTTTAATGTTTATGAAAAACAGAAAATTACAAACTGAAAGGGACCTGGTTGCAAACCTTGGGACTCCTATGTCTGGTTTCAGGGGACAGGTAAATCCCTGTGATTTTAAATGACTACTACAAAAGATTAGAAGAAGTAAAAATGAATCAGCCATGTCCCCTTATCTTCAAGTGACATACTGGCACATGGCCTTCTGTCTATGTGTATTTGTACAAACTGAACTCCTGCTGGGCATGCTGAGTGCTAAACAACATTAACATAGGGAAAGTCACAGGTCCTGGATGGAAGGTGGTGTGGAAAATTGTTTGATGATATAACTTCTCCTAGAGGCTCTCACGTGCTATTAAAGTTAATAATCAGACATGCAAAACTTTGTAGAATTAAAAAATTGTTTTGAATTCCATATTATAGCCAGATCAGGGTGACAGACAAATGATAGCAAGGAGAGTAAGGAAAGGAAAATGAAGAAGGAAGGAAAGAGGAGAATACAGCCCCCAAAGGATGACAAGGCCATGGTGAAAGAAGTTCAGAGCTCTGGGGTCCTGAATCTCCTGGATTTCCTGGCCTGCTGAGCCAGGTCAGGAGAGGTAGTAGGACTGGGAGCCCCAGCAGAATCAGCTCATTGGCCTGGGGAAGGTAGCTCCCAAGAAAAGAAGTTTCCATAACTTCTTTCTCTTATGGAAAGAACTGGAGCTTGGATCTGCAGAGGCCAATAGGAAAATGGGGGGCGCAAGGGAGGGAGAGAGGGAAAGAGGGAGAGAGAAGAGATAGGTAGAGTTTTGTTTGTAAAGGAGCAACTGCTGATTGATGTATTCAAGGAGGAAATGTCCTGAGCTCCTAGGCATGGGGGTCCCCCCACCTCCTCGGAGTGTCAGCACTGCAGGGTGCCAAAGGGCATTTTGTCACCATGGACACACAGGACATGAGATACAGGAACTTGCTTTGCAGACCGAATGACCTTGAGTCTAGGGTGTGTTTGTAGCTTCTGGATGCTGTGATGCTCCGTTCCAGATTTCAGTTCTGTTGTTGGATGTTGGTGCTATCAAGGGGACATTTGGGAAATGAGGAATCATAATTCATTATTTCTAACTTCATCTACAATTGGAAAGGAAAAATCCTTCTAAGCTTTGGGCCCATTTCTCTATGCTATATATTTTTCTCTTCATTGTTGCTGTCCTTTGCTTTCCCCTGAAGAATGTAACATGTTTTAGACTGCTCCATATTATAAATCTCATTTAAAAAGTGTTGAATCAAGGAAGTCTGCCAGCTACTTTTGTTTTCCCTACTTTTCTCTCCCTGTTGGACTGCTCCAGCAAAGGGGAATAATATTACCTTACCATGTAAAACATGGTTAATGGCTTTAAAAGAATTCCCCAACAACAGAATAATGAGCTGCCAAAAATATTCTTGGTGCCAAGGGATCTGCATATGTCTGTTCCATTTATTGTGTGTTTCTCATTTCATCATGACTAAGTGCTCACAAAAAACATAAAAACCCAAACCTCTAGGGTATGTGGTGTTTGAGCACAGAAACCATATTTTAATATATTCAGTCCTATACCTAACATAGTAAGATGATTAGTAGAGTATCAACAGCAAACAAAGATGAATGCCTGTTGTATGTAAGATGCTCAAATTATCAATTACATTAATATCTAGCTACTAGAAGGAAGTCGTTTTTCTACCATCTCTGCTGTGCTTAGTTGAAAATGTTTATTCTAAGGAGTACGGGAAGTTTCACAACAAAAACTCGTGTTCTGCTTATTTGAGTAAGTTTACTCTTCTAAGAAATGTGAAGATGGAACCTATTTCTTAATTAAAATTTCATGTTTTAAAAGCCTGACAGTGCAGTATCACAAAATGATTTCTTTTTATTTTACCTTGATAATAGATTGAGTCTATTAAGAAGGGGGGAGTTTCTTAAAAACTTATTTAAAACATCAATTTAAGAATACACTGAGCAGATCTGGGGGAAAAAAATAAAAATGTAGAAAAAAATGTAAAGGTGCTTTGTTTCTCCCTAGAAGCAAGTCAAGAAGAATAGCATCTGAACCCCCTCACCAAGCACTCCAGCCTCCCCTAGACCCTTCCCACTTGGTCTGAGCCCAGACTGTCTGGTTCTCACTTGGCAGGAGACTCTTAATCTCCCCCACTTCTCTGTTTGGGCCAGGCTGTTGCCTGCTGTCTTTATGTGGTTTCTGACTAGGTTATGTTACGTTTTGCCAGTGTCTTAATTGGTAGTATCTCTGGGGCAGGATAATTGTCTTCCAAGAATTCCTGAGATAGGGATTTTGAATTGTCTTGCATGTGATTCACAGGACAGATAACATTCATATAGGCCTCCTCCCCTGGACCAGGAGCCATGGAAATTCCTGGGCTGGTTAACTAAAATTCCATGACTTTGACTCCTACTCAGCAAAGCATGTTGGAATTCAATTGGATAAGAGTGACTTCATCTGAGGAGATAAGCCTGAATCTGCTTTAAATGTGTGTGTGTGTGTGTGTGGTGTGTGTGTGTAATTCATATCCAAAATGTAATCCTTTAGTATGTATCATATTTACTTAAAATGCTTCATCATAACCAAGTATATGAACCCAAAGCGCACAGTGAAACACAATGTTCATGCTCTCTTGGGACTAGCTCAGTCCTCAGAGAGGGCCTGGGGAAAATACTGCATAATCTCCTGTCTTCCCAAAAGACTAATGCCTAAGAGACACTGAGTTGTCACCTGACAGTAAAGCGTTGGAGGCAGAGTTCTCAAGAAAGAAACATAGCACCATCCTAGTTAACTGTGACTAGAGAAAAAGAAGCAAGGTAGATCTTTAGCTGCCTCTGGAGACCCAATGCTACATCTACCATTTCCCATTTGCAAAAATAAATTGCACAGAAAGACAGTGATTATCTGCTGTGATTATCAAGCAATCAGTGCATAGCACAACTCACGAATTTCGGGCTAGGTGGGTGTTTACTGAAATCAAAACAATTTTGCCATTGATTAATGTAAAATATAAAACTATGGGTTTAGTACAAACCCTTAACTTTTATTAATGCAGAGTTTTTATTAAAGTGGTCAAGTACTCAGAAAATTATTATGCCTATAATGTTGGGAAGAACTATTACATGAAAAAATTATTGAAAATCTTTTTTTAAATTTAATTAAATTAATTAATTTATTTTTTAAGATTTTATTTATCTATTTGACAGAGAGAGACACAAGCAGGGGGAGTGGGAGAGGGAGAAGCAGGCTTCCCACGGAGCAGGGAGCCTGATGCGGGGCTCAATCCCAGGACCCTGGGATCATGAGCTGAGTCAAAGGCAGATGCTTAATGGCTGAGCCACCCAGGCGCCCCTGAAAATCTTTTTTTTAAACCCAGCTGTTCTTTTATGGATTTGGATATAGTACTCTTCAAATCATGTTACTGGAAACAGTATTTTTGCATTCAAGAGACTCCTGATTTAAATGTTTAGCTTTAAAAAGAAAGAAATGCTAATCCTTGTGCTTCAACAGTGGTGAGATAAACACCTGGTGTAGTGAGTTGGACCTTCAGAGAGCCATCTAGTTTTCCATGTGCTCCACGAAACGCTGAATTTTAAAGAGTTCCACTTACACTATGCTGTTGCATTAATTTTGACAGGAGAGTTTTACTCATGTTATTGTGACACATTCACACGTTTAGAGAATGTTTTAGTGGCCTGCAGCGTGACCAGAGGAACATGATGGAGAGCTTTGTCACACTGCACGTTATGTGGACTGTTCTCCAAAGGTCTATTTGGAGACTGGAGGTGGAGAACAGTGCATCTGAGGGAAAACTCATCCCACTTAACTCTAGAACCTAGTATGTACCAGGGTGTGCAAAACCAGGACAGAACTAACTGCATGCTTGGTGTGCATCAATTAATTATGTTCTTTCCTTCTGTTTGTAGGCTCCACATGGGAAAAGACATTTCGGCAGATTGGCTTTGAAAGGTAAGCAGGGTTTAGTGTGTTAGCATGTCTTCACTTTTAGGTTCTCATTCCCTGCTTCATTCTAAGTAATTTACTGATGATAAATCAGTGGTCTCACCAAGTTTGTTCCAAAGTAGCCCTTTGTGTTATAAATTTTTCCCTGCCTGCACGCAGAGGAATTTACATGAAAATCCTCTTAAACCAGGAAAGAGCATCAAAGGTGAGTTGTCTAACTGGAGAACTCCATGAAGTCGTTTGGTCTTTTCTAGCTTTATCACTGCCTATGTCATATCAGTTCTATAGTTTTCGCACAAAACGATGTATATTGATATTGACATCGTCCCTGTCATCAAAATTGTTAGGTCTTATCCACTCCAAGTTGAAAGCTGGGATCATGGCACTCCTAGCTAAAAGCTCCTAAAATGGACTCATTATAACATCAGACAAAGTCGAGGTAGGGTCGGTAAGGTTACTATCCCACCTGCCTTGGAACTCAGTGGCAGCCTGTGGGACAGATCCCTCCCAGTGACGTGTAGTGTCTTCTCTGGAGCTTGCTGCGTCGGTGCAGCTATTGGAATAGAGAAAATGATTTTTTTTTAATTTAATTTTATTATGTTATGATAGTCACCATATGATACATCATATTGTTTTCATATAATAACCAGTGCTCCATGCAGTACGTGTCCTCCTTAATACCCATCACCAGGCTAACCCATCCCCCCACACCCCTCCCCACATTCTTGTTTTTTTTTTTTTTAAGAAAATGATTTTAGTTTCTTTTTTTAAATCTAAAAGCAGATTTTGACTAGTTCTTTTTAACATATTGAAAACCTGTTCTTATGTGTATTAATCAAGCTGACCGAGTGCTTAGAGAAATGATAAAATACTTTAAAATGCAAGAGAGAATAGCTCAGCACAAGGCTGACTGTGGTGGCATTTCCTGTACCATTTTTTATTTGATTCAAAGATTTATTTCTTTCTCTACATAAACTCCCACTGAATCAGCACCATGGCCGTAGGTCTCACAGGAAGGCTATTGCAGGAGGTTGGCTTGAGTTGGGCAGATCTCACAGGCCAACTTAAAGCATAAAAAATCATGTCACTCCTTCATTTCATGTGAAATCTTTTCCCAAAGCAGCTTTCTCTTGATTCTCTCTTCATATTATGACAAACACAGAAGCAAAGGGGAAAGAATAACAAATTGAACGTCATTATCCAGCTTCAGTAGGACTTTGTCATCCTTCCTTTGTCTATTTTGGAGGCAGTAGGGGTTAAAATATTTTAAAGGAAATCTCAGACGTCATGTCATTTTGTCCCTACATAGGTTGAGGACACATCTCTGAAAAAAAAAGAAAGTGGGTATTTTCTTCCAGAATCATGATGCCACTATCATGCCAGATACAAATAACAGTAAGTCCTTGGCATCATGTAGTATCCAGTCGATGTTTACATTTCCTGACCACTTCCGAAATGTCATAGTGCAGGTACTGGTTTGAATCGCCATGCTACTGAAGCCCACACATTCCAGCTTGTTGCTACAGCTCGAGTAACAATTCCCTCCCAGCTTCATTTTGTTTTTTTTTCATGTCATTGACTTGTCAAGAAACCTGGTCAGTTGTTGGAAGGTCTCACATTCTGGATTTGTTGGTTTGTGGTATTGTTTATCTTGTTATTCTATCCCCGTTTCACTTACATTCACTTTGTTCCCTTTTGGTCACGGGGAACAACTTCACATTGACTTTTTGTCCTTTTGACACAGGACCACCAGTCTTTGATAGTTTCTATGTTTCTAGTGCAACTAGATGTACAAGCCCATCCAGTATTCCAGACCTGACAAGGAGTCTCTTTTCTTTGTGGAGAATGGTATTTTGAAATCACAGTCTAAATACTAGGGACCCCCATCATATCTGGACTGTCATGTTTCTGGGCTGTTTCAATATATGTTAGAGCTAGAAAATACCTTTTTTATTTTTTTTAAGATTTTTTTCTTTATTCATTTGAGAGAGCAAGACCATGAGCAGGGTGAGGGTGAGAGGGAGAGGGACAGACTCCCCACTGAGTGGGGAGCCCAACTCAGGGCTCAGTCCCAGGACCCAGGGACCATGACCCGAGCTGAAGGCAGATGCTTAACTGACTAAGCCACCCAGGCACCCTGAAAATACCTTTTTTAAATAAAAAAATAACCTGAATTCTTACATTACTTCCAAATCAAACATAGCCTTACAGAATTTTTAACTTCTCTGGCACCACATTTGCATTTATTTTCTTTTTCACTAAAAATCTTGGTTCTTAACAAAACTTACTTATTTTAATGTATATATATTTTTAAAAAATACAAACACTAATATTACCACTTGTAATAGAAATATTAAATGAAGTTTTTATTTTTTTTTGTTTTTTGAAAAGATTTATTTATTTGAGAGAGAGAGAGTGCTTGCGGTCGCATGCAAGTGGGAGGAGGGGCAGAGAGAGAGACTCTCCTGCAGACTCCCTGCTGGGCATGGAGCCCGACTCAGCTCGATCTCACAACCCATGAGATCACGACCTGAGCCAAAACCAAGAAGTTGAATGCTTAACTGACTGAGCCACCCAGACGCCCCAAGAATATTAAATGAAGTTTTAAAATTTGCTTTTGGTCTTCATTTTATATTACATTAAATATGTACAATTAAAGACTCAAAACTTAAGTTGCTTAAGTTTTTTTTTTTCCTATGTGGTCATATTCTAACTTTTATATATAATTTCGTTCATTTGTTTCAGAATCTTTTCAATTTTAATGGATTTTTAAAATTTCATTTTATTTTTGAATATATAACATTTATATGTCTCCAAGTACAAATTATATGTTTATATATATATATAAAGTGTTTTCAGAGGAATGTCACATGCATCCCCTGCCCCCGCATCCTATGCCTTCTTCCTTCCCCAGTTGCATGGTTATTAGCTTTTGGTTTAAGCTTTCAGTGTTTATTTTCACATATGCAAGCTGATACTTGCATATAACTGTATCCTCGCCCTGTTCTTGTGTGAAGAGTGGCATAGTATATATATTATTCTGCCCTTTGATTTTTTTTCACCAGGAATATATCATAGAAATCATTCCCCATCAGTGTATATAGGTATTCCTCACTCCATTAACTCGCAGTTTCCACTCCTTTAGGTGGATGAGCCAATATAAAGGATGAGCTTGGTTAAATCAGGAATCTCATCCAGTATCAAGCTTTACTAATAATTTTAAGGATTCAAGTGACCAGGGACACTGGTAATGGAGGGAGAAATCCAGGCAAGATATCCCATGTGGCTCCTCACATCCTTCTTTTTGATATCATATATATATACTTTTTGGCCCAGAGAGATAGATGAGATTTCCACTGAGATTTGCAAGTCCCTCACATAGTAGGAAACATGATTTTGCAACATCTCCAGGTTTACACCTAAGAAATTTGAAGAGCTCATGTGACATTCTCCAGAGAGTTATAACTCATCAATCTATGATGAGGATTTTTTTATCATAACGTCCTAAACCAGGACTTTCCTGCTTGATGAGGACTCTTCTCCTAGAAAAAAAAAAAAATTATTATTATTCTCTTTGTCCAGTGATCTAGTTAATATGTATACAAGAAGCCTAAATCAGGTCACTTTCCTTCTTCCCTCAACCCCAGTATCTCCTTGGTAATCAGAGGAAAATGGATCACAAGCAACTTGCTTTAACTCCTTCTTTTCCAGTACATCGTGGAGGAACATTCAGGCTATTTTCAGTCTTTTGCTCTTACAGAAAAATGTTGTAATGAATAACCGTGTGCATACTTGTGCTTTTGCCAGATATCTTAGGGATTAGATTCCCAAGGACAATCAATGAGTAAATTATATGGAATTTTGCTAATTTTGCCACGTTTCACTCCCTAGAGTTTCAACAGTTTACACCCCTGGTAAAAATGCATGAGAGTATTTCCCCAGTGCCTCACCAACAGAATATGCTGTCAGACTTGAGATTTTTGCCAGTCTGATAGATGAGAAATGGTATCTCAGCGTCCTTTTAATTTTCATTTACCCTGCATCATTTTTCCATAGAGTAAAGAACAGGTTAAGTAAGATCTTTTCTGTCAACTAAGTGAAGCACTTTGAGCAAGAGCTTCTTCTCAGATGGTTAAGGATTCATTGATCAACAGTATTTGGCAGTTGAAACATTTTCTTCCTAGCTTATATGACCTTAACCTTTCCCTTACTTGAATAGTGATCTAATGAAACAGCTACCGTGTACCAAGCACTATGTTAAATAATTTCTACGATCCATACAGCAACCTCACAGACCAGGGATTGGCAAACGGTACTGTAAAGGACAGATGGTAAACATTTTAGGTTTTACGAGGCGTACAATTCCTGTTGTAATTTCTCAACTTTGCCTCTGTAGCATAAAGCAGCCATAGACAATGAGTATGGCTGTATTCCAATAAAACTTTATTTACAAAACCAGCAAGTGGCCATCATTTATTGACCACCCCCACTGTAGCTTCTGGTTGCCCACTCACAGGTAAAGAAACTCAAAGAAATCAAGTAGTCTACACATATAGTCATGGCCATTGACCTGCATTAGTACTGACCTACATTCTGTTCTATTTTTGCCTAGTTCCAAAGATGAAGGTTTTTAGACCAGAACATCCTAAAATCTTGATTATAGGTCTCCTTTGTTTTATGTTGTTTTATGTTTCCTATCCCTGTACCTCTGGGCATGTGGTCTCAAATCACAATCTTATTGGATATTCTCATTTGAATAAAGCCAGACAGTATAAAGTTCATATTACAATGCCTCCCTAAAATTGTTATACTTCCAAATAGATGTACAAATAAAAATATTGTTAAGGAGTATATCAAGTGCAGTGCTTTATTTTCAAACCGTAATCTCAGCTGGGTAATCATCCTGATTTTTAGATGTTACCTTAAAATGTCATCTTGCATTTTCCCAGATTATCCTGTGTTTTCTCACTGAAACACAGTGAGTGTTCTCTGCATTGTACCCGCAT